TGGTGTCCTTGAAGTTTAACATTCAGGTTTCAATCAAATCTGATTCATTTTTGATCCTGTGTTCAAATTAGGTTAAAATTTTCATTGTTTATGAAGACGTTTGATAAATCCATGAGCACTGGTGTGTAGTTTGGCTTTGGCGGTTTGTATGTGGAGCCTAAAGATTTGCAAAGAAAAAAAAAACTATTTACTGAAACGATAAAGGACAGTTAGCACTTAGACATTTTGGTGTAAAGGCCAGCTCATGGTTTTTGCATCCAAGTGTCTGCAAGAATAAGCGAGGGATCAGTTTTGTCATCAAGCCACGAGGTTCTGCTCAGAACCTTCTATGGACAAACATGTGCAGCACAGGACTTGTGACCACACACATGTGCTTGTTTTGAAGAGAGGCTGTGTGATTTGCCATCATCCACACCTTTTTGTTTAGAGGGTTGTAACTGAAGGATTTTGGAGGTGCTTTGATTTGTTCAGGCCTTCCATAGACAAAGGTCCAGACACAGACTGAGGTTCCAGATTCTCCAGGACTCCCGTGCTCTGTACGTCCACCGTGCTCTGCACACCTCAGGAGTAATGGGATTGGACCAGCCTGTAAAAAGCTGCTATAGTCTGTAAAAAATGCAACGTCACAGCCAAACCATGGAAGGCTTGTGTGTGTGTTTCTGGGTTGATCTGAGGGTCACTGTGACCGCTTTAAGTCTGCGTAGCTCACCGACGCCTACTTCTTGTAGAATGAACAGAGTTTCTGCCGTCTGCTTTCAAAACCTACATCTGACGGCACCCGGGGATGAGGACACCACGCATTTACCTCGACACGACAACACATGAATCCCTCTGAGACGGCTGAAAAGAAAAGGCTCGTTACACTTCCTTGGTGAGTTAGTCTAGAGGGATGACTACTCTACTATTCTTAAAAGTTTCTATGCTCCATACATTAAATAAAAAACTGCTTAAAAGAGATGGATGCAGCACACACGCTCAGGCTCGTTGTTTATCACGAGTGGCCATTTGCAAAATTAAAGCAAAAACAGCCTAAACCTGCAAACTTTTACTCAGTGATGACGTACTTGTAAAACATTTCCAGAGTTTAGAAAAGAGATTTTTTTTATCTACGTAACATCACCTATGATGTGAAGTCTGACGGTCGAGCAGGAAGCTGGGTAAACGCTACTGCACATGTGCACTGAGCCGCACAAGCAGGAAGCAAACTGGGAAGTTGGAAAACTTTCTTTTGACTCGACCTGCATTTATACGACAGCCAGGAGATGGTCAGTTCATTTCAAAGGTGCAGCAGGAGCAGTAAAATTGTGGAGCCTCATCATGGCGAGGCTGCTAAGAACAGACTGCTGCCAGCAAAGGAACAGGCCGACGCGTAGCCTTCTGTAAAACTTCTGCATCGTGTTGCCTTGTGACAGGCCAGCTGTTCACCTCACTTTACAGTATTATGTTATACTATCTAAGAAAGTCACTTTGTAGTTACTGGACAGGGATCAGAGTGGTAGAGATTAGTAGGAAACCGCATAAATATCTTCCCCAACATGTTAAACTAATCTGAACGTTTGAAAATGTGCCATATGATTTAAAAATCTGCATAAGCGAAATAACTCTCCACCGCCTGCAGAGCAGTTCCAGGAGTTTTGCACAATTAGATCGTTGAAAAGTACAAGTTAGGCTGAAGCACGCAGCAGTTAAATATGTCACGCTGCAGCTCCATCCACCTCCACCAAGACTCCACGCTCGTATGCATCGCTGCCGTAATCTGCGCAGGACGTAATGCTCTTTGACATGTTTAAAATTGTATTACACGGCTCCGTACAGGGAATTCTTCACAGCCTATTAAATTCCTGTCTGATTTCTGGGTTTTTGTGTGACAGCTCATCGCGGAGGGCCGAATCGATCGAGCCTGCCACAACGAAACAAAACTTACTGATCCACGAGGCTGTTCTCCCTCTACAGCTGTGATGGGGGACGTATGGAAGTCAAAGGACTTGTTTTATGGTCGATAAAATTCCTTTATGTGTTCTTACTTTTAAAGCTATTTATATAACGTCCTATGTAATGTTGGAGACACTAATGGAGCCACAAAGTGAACGGATTTATTCACAGACATCCATAAGCTTGAGCAGATATGTACCAAATCAGCAGTAATCTGGTGCTTTACGGTCGGCTGCACCACGCTGTCATGCTGCTGTAGGAAAATCAAACACTTGTTTGTGTTTCTTTAAATCAATCACGACCTCGGCGGAACTTCCTGCCTGAAGGTTTCCGTTGTTGTCGTCTAGTTGTGGAGGAAACAGCTGAGGTTGCTTCTACCTGCATGCGACACGTCTGGTGAGTCACACTAAACCAACACTCATCTGCAGTAAACTGTTAAGAACACCTGGACAGAGCGAGAAGAACTAAACCTGCTCCTGTGTTGAAATTATTCATGGACTTGAGCAACAACAATCACTCCAAAGCTCAGCACAAGAGAAGCACAGCTCTTATCTTATATCCTCCTCCACCTTCGTATATCCCTTTTTATACTGCATTGCGCCTGAAAACATTCACATGCAGCGATCGATATCTACAATTTAGCCGTAATATGTGATCGTCCGCCTGGCAAAAGTATCATATTGATTGACAAGGGTGCTATGAAATGAAGGCATACATGAGAGGAGGAGCGTTGTCATGGCTATAGGCAGCCGGATTAAACCACCGTGCATGTCTAACCAACACAGAGCACCAGCAGGGCTAAAGGTGAATCAATGCAGTGACTGGGCAGAGGCAGCGTCGGGGTGTGTGGTCGGGGCGTCACTGGGTAATGATGCTGCATGTGAGGCCATTATCCACCTGTTTCAGATGAGAAATCCAGCCTGGGTTGTCACGAAGCCTCATGTTGAGTGAATGACAAGAGTGATTATGTGGCGTTGCTGTGCCAAATTGCTAATGCTTGTTTTCTGACTGTGGCAATAATTTCATCAGCCGTATGATTAATACAGGAGTTACATAATGCGCCGGCGTTGGTGTCGTACAGAGTTGTGATATGCTTTTCTCAGCTCCGAGCAGAACTTTTGGCTCACACGGCGTTGGCTCTTAAATAGCTCCAGCCTGTCAAAACCGTCCTTTTAGCGTATTGTTGAAACCAGCCAGCGAGTGAAGAGATTGTCACTACAGATGGAAAATTTGACTTTGAACCTCGGCACACTGACGTCGAATTGCAAAGTTTTCACCACAATGAGGCTTCATCGGGTCACAATGTTTTAAAATCAGCACTGCATTAAGTTACACATCATAACAGCGTACAGTCATGACTCGATAATCTGACTCTAAATGTAAAACCTTCTTCTATGTCGGATAGCAAGGCTGTCGGATTGTCCAGACCGAGGTCCAGATACGAGGAGGGCTGGACGCTGGAAGGATCATTAGTTGTTCATTATTGTTCATAGTTGTTATAATAACTAGTGTGTTGTTAGAACACGACGCATCGCTGGATTTCAGCCTAACTGACCGGTGCTCTGTGCACGTTCCGGCCATCTCCACCCGGGGCAGCGCTCTGACGGGGTGGAAGTGTCCAGAACACACAGGCAGTACTGGGCTGCTGATGCTAGTTTAGTTAGCGCTCACACTTCTGTTTCCTCCATCGGTGGCGGCGGGGGAGTGGCAGATACGCTCCACCGTTACCATCCATGTTTACTTCCATAAACACTGAGCACGCTCGCTGCGTGTGACGTCGTCGTGTCCTCTTCTGCGCATGCGGGACACTTTTGGGTCGCATGAAGTTCACACAGCAGATCACATACAAGTCGCATTGAACTGGAAACGTGAAGGAAGTCACAAAGAAATCCTCATTGAGCATCAAGTCCTGCAGTGTGAACGTAGCCAATCTGTGGGATTGTTCAGTCAGATAATACGCCGTCATCCTGATTGGTGACATTAAATGTCATGTCGGAGTCACAATCCAAGGCTGTCGCTATGTTAAGCCTGTTTTTATGGCTTCTGTTGGTTTTTCCTAAAAACCTGTCGGATAGCAGGTTCTGGATAGTTAAGGGTCGGATTATCGAGTCACGACTGTATATTGAGCAATGTTTAAAACTCCACAAACAGGGATTTCAAACATTATTTGTTTTTATTGACAGTGACAGCTGAGCAGAGGGGGACATGCAGCAAATCACCACGAGCTACGATTGAACGTTCGGCGCCGGCGACGGCAGCCTTTACACATGGAGCTAAAGGAGACCAACAGTTATTTTGACAAGTCCTCCAACAGCATAAATAGACTAACAAAATAGCACAGTTTAGGCACTAAAACAACTTGCTTCCCAGAACAAATAAACCCATGGTTTTGTCGACCCATCCATCCACCCCCGCCTCCTCTACAGATGGAGCTCCAGCACTCCCTCATTCGCTGCTGTCACTATTATAACTTCTATTTAAGCTCAGTTTACTGCCAGCATTCTTTATTTTTATATTTACTCTCTCCGCTGTAGCTGCGCTGCTTTTTCAGCGTGTTGTCACATCCATCAAGTTGTTATTTATAGAAACAAACAAGCAATAAATCAAGCCCAGAACTGTCGTCACATCACCAGCAACCTGAGGTTTAAGTGACTTCAGCTGGACTCGTCCTTTTCAGTATTGCATGAGCAGCACACGTGTGCTCGTGCAGCTGTGACATGAGGTGTAATGATCACTGAGGGTCGTCGTGGTTCCACTGGAGCACAAGGAGGGTCAACAGACCAAGAAGAGGGCTGAAAAATTACTCGGTGCAAATGAAAACTCATAGTGTAGCCATTGGGGGATCATTATAGATATTGATTTGTTCAGTGGCTGCCTACTGAGGAGGCACTTCTCACAGGTTCACCCATTTTTTTCTAATATCTGAAATCACTTGGCAAAACAATATAATGCACATTTGCAATAAAGGAGGCAGCTTATCTCTTCTTTCATAACTGATTGAACAATTTGGAACAAAAATCCTCAGTGCAGTCCAAATGAACACACGTTAAGGAACTTTTGCATCTTACTGGTTGTGTTGTACTTCACCCCATTGATGTACTCCGGGCAGGGTCTCTCCACCATCCTGCCGCTGCTGCTCCGCGGCCAGCAGGTTCCAATCTCATCGGTGGTGGCATTGCAATATAAACCTTGTGCGAAAAAAAAAGAAGTAAAAAGAAAAAAAAAAGAGGCACACGCTTATAGCTTCCAATCCCCAAGACGCACCTAAAAAAAAAACACCTTTCAAACACTGAACAAGATAAAAGGAAGCAATTCCATCTTACCATCAGCGCTCAGCAACGCCACTGACGCGTTTTCCAAAAAAGTGTCCTGGAAAGCCTCCACCAAACTACAATTCACGTCCCCGAGCTCCCCAAAAATGATCTCGTAAATAGTAGCATCCATGGTGCGAGCCTTCCGCAGAATTAATTCAGAGTCCGAGTCCAGGAGGAGGAGGAGGAGGAGGAGGAGCGGAGGAGGAGGGCACCCTGCGCCCAGCGGTGTCCATGGGCATGTGAGGCTGAGCAGCGGCGCTGACAGGCGCACAGCCCCGCGCGCCGTGTGGGAGCTCCGCTGACCAATCAGAGCCGCGCATCCGCCGCAGCCGACACGGCGACCGGATCACATCAGCTCACACCTGCCGCACCTGTCACCTGCTCCCGGCGAGGAGGTCGGACTCATGGCGGTGACAAAGAAGCCCCGAGAGAGATTAAAAACATAAGAGGCGCGCATAGCTGCTGGTGGTCGCTAATGAGAAGAAAAATGAGACGCAGCAGATCAGAAAACGAGCAGAGAAGCAATTTGCACAATTCAATTAGAAAACACATTGATTAATGTATTAGACCACCACCCAGTCTAAGGTTTAGCTGCCCTGCATTAGTCATGTCTCATGTCTCTGTAATGGTTCATACACCAGAATGTAGAAGATCTTTAACCACAATGATGTTTTTAATGATAAAATATAATTATTGTTGTTATCCATGAGGTTTCTATTTTGCTGTTTTACAATAAGAAAACAGAAAAAAACTGTAAAGCTCATTATTATGTCTTGATTCAGATGTCAGATTATTTACTCACATTCCTGAACAGAAACATTAGTTTTAGTGGCTGAATGTGATGCTTGATCAGTTTTCTCAGAGAAGTCCAGTGAGCTGCTCAGGTTTGGCATAAAAAGATGGATTCAGTTTAAATTCCTCATTCCTGTTCAGAACGGTGAAACGTGGAGAGCTGAGTGGCGTTAAAGTCCTTCATGATGCTGGATATACAATAATAATTCAATATAAAAATAAAAAACTTTGCTTAGTAATTCTTGATATGATAGTCGGTGCCTCCTCCATCACTGAAGAATCCACTCTGAAGCGATTCAAGCGACCTGCTCCCACCGCTTCATTAAATGTGTGGTGGAGAAATAAAAACTGTTGCAGCTAATTAAGTTGAAATCACTATTTTGATGGGTTGTGTTGACGTAATATTGTTGCATCACATTAATATTTTGTGTAATTTACACTCAGATTTCTGCATTAGTTGATGTAAAACTAATTTCATGTTGGTTTCATAACCTAACTTTTCTTTACCTTCAGGTCAGGATGTCTGTTATAACGTGTCTCGACATTATGACGACATCTTTGATCGTAGAGGAAAAGATCAATCTATTTATTCCATTTATTTAAAAGCTGTTTTAACTTTTTTTTTTTTAATGCAAACCGTAGCATTGATTTTTGTTGTTGTTGTTGAGCCCAAACATAGTTTTTTATAGTGAATAAATATTCAAAGACTTTGAGTTTTAAAAACCTCAAAAACAACCTTCCAGTGTCAGATTCTGCTCCATTTTCTAAAGTAAGACTCAAGAAATCAAAACACATCCTTGAGCAGAAGGGGTTTTATTTCTTCTCTACCTGTGATCATGTAATCACCTGCACATGTATCAGTAAAAGACAATAATCCTAATTTCTGCACCACTGAAGTGTACAGACTCTTGTCTTATGATTGGGTCAGAAACTGAACGGTTCTGGAGGGAAACGTTGAAGCGCTGACTCTCCAAAGTGAGATAATATTGAGATTTAATTTCAGATTTAGCATCCAAAATGATGAGCCACGACTTTGGCAGAACGTCCCTTTAATGATAGATAGGTCTCCGTCGCTGCTGTTTTAAATGACGCACGGCTCGATGTTGGGTTTTATTCAGGCGACGTGAAGCACTCGGTAAAGGTCAAAGACTTGATTAAAGAAGCAACTGCTGGCGGGAGAGAAGACGCAGCTCTGGCATCGAAGTCAAGCCTTCGTGTGCCAGTCGTCCATCCCAACAGGTGGATTCATGTCACTGAGGCGGAATCTCCACTTTTGTGTTTGGACACAGTCAAGCCGGGGGACGTATTCCCACCGTCTGTTTATTTATGATGCAAGGTAAAAGAAGGGGATTTAAATCATTCTTATTAGGTTGCAAACATTATTTTTAAGGGGTTCAGTTGGTAGGATGATGTTGAGAGCTGCATCGGCCTACAATTATCCATCCATCCATCATCTCTACACATTAATCCTCACCAGGGTCATGGGGGGCTGGAGTCTATCCCAGCTGACTCAGGGTGAAGGCAGGTTCACCTGGACAGGTAACCAGTCTATCACAGGGCTACACTTAGAGACAGACAACCAAGCACACTCACATTCACACCTACGGACAATTTACAATCACCAATTAACCTCAGCATGTTTCTGGACTGTGGGAGGAAGCCGGAGAACCCGGAGAGAACCCACGCTGCACGGGGAGAACATGGAGACTCCACGCAGAAAGATCCCGGGTGTTCTCACCGGGACGTGAACCGGCGACCTTCTAGCTGTGAGGTGCTAACCACCGGACCACCTTGCAGCCCGCCTACGATTATGTGATTTTAAACTAAATTCAAGATGAATTTTTGCTTGATAAGTCGATCTAAGCGGACAGCTAGGAGTGGGAAATAAAATGCTTTGTTGCTCTGTGCTGGTTTCCTGGTTGAACATAACGTCACATAAAGTAAAGTTTCCTGCTGCTGCTTTGAATGCAGGTTAGAATTATTATTTAATGTAGTAAATGGTAATTCAATATTGATAATTATGATTTCTTATATTATAAATCCCCACGGTTCCAAAATGTTCCCGCCATTTTCAAATTCAATAGAATATATTTAAATCATTATGACTTTAATGTTTTCATGTTTTGTGTAAAACAGGACATGATGACGTGTAATAGTTGATGTGTTTCCTCCAAAAACAAGAGAAAACCGACAAAAAAGATCAGTAGTTTAAAATTTGGTACAGAAACGTACCATGAAGGAGTCTTTCAAGGGTTAACTCAACAAACTGATGCATTTTTTTCCTTTTAGTTCAGAAAGTTCAAGGGAAAAAAAAAACCTGCTCGTGTGCTTTTCTCTGTCGGCCACGCTGGAATATAAACACAATCATTTTGTGTGTCCACCGTAACTTATGACTCCACCAACATTCACGCTTTTGTTTTTTTTTTCGTGGAACTGAGCCGGATTTGACACTTGAGCGAGGATAGTTTTTGAAAGACTGACAGTTGTTGGCTTTCCTCTTTGTAAATGTGAAAATAATTATGAGCACAATTACAATTAGCATGTAGATCAACGCGTCCAACAAAGACCGCGATAAGGTTGAGTGGCTCTCGTCTCTGACAGCCGAGTGCTGCGTAAACATGTGTGCGGTGGGAACATGAGCCATGCATTCATCAGCGGAGCAGATCGTATGCAGACGTTCGCTTTTTAAACCTGAAGTTCAACCCATGAATTTTGTGACATTAACAAGGCGACCTTTACTCTGTAACGGCTTCCAGTTCTTTCCAGTTCATGAATACAGTGTGGGGGAAAAAAACAAGTGGAATCCCAATTTAAAAACCTGCTTTGGTCCTGAATAATTGGACACGTTCGTTAGCTCACATTCTAGTTCACGTGCTGCAGCTCAGGATAAACACAGAACTCTAAAAGTCAGATCTCCAAAACTTTAAACCCGCCCAATGAAAAGTGTCTAGACAGGAAATGTGTCTCATAACCGAGTCTAATATCGTGGCTGTTTACCTGTTAAATTTGAGATGTGACCTTTTCACCAGCGAGAGGCTTTCTCTCTGAGCTCCCTCTGAGCTTCCACAAGCAGCTCTCCACCTCATTTCGCCGCCGTGCGCTTTCACATCATATATTCTTAGATCCGTCCGGCGTCTCGACGTCGACTCGACCGTGTGACTGTTATAATTGGCTATTTATAGAGCTCCAAAAAGTTAATTAATTCTCTCGCAGCACCCACCGTGCAGCCGGCAGCGACGGGATGAGGAATAAACAAGGAATAGCACTAAAATCTTTTAATGTTAATCCTCTTCAGTGTGGTCTGAGATTAAGACTGAACTGTGTGAACTGCAGCAGAACGCAGTTTTGTCGCTTGAAGACGCTTAAAATACTAACAGTCATTACCGTAATGATGGAAACAACCATCGGGACCATCTGGGATTCAGCATATTTATGTTGCCGTAATGATCAACTATTATCTTGGGACTAACTGCAAAGCTGCAGATGGGTAAAAAAAAAAAAAAGAAAAGGTTCAAAGAATCTTAATCATTCTCCCACAAAACCATTTCCCACAGATGAAACCAGAAGTTTACATACACTGAATAAAAAGACATAAAACCTTCTTTCTTTCTCGCTGTCTGACATTAAATCAAACTTTTCCTGTTTTAGGTCAGTCAGGACCACCAAAGCAGGAAAAGTTTGCTTTCTTTCTATACAGTCCATGTAAACTTCTGGTTTCAACTATCAAGAGATTGGCCAGTTCAAAATGTGAACACTACAAATTTAAACTTCACACAGATTGAAGATACAAACCAGAGATCTCCAACTCCGGTCCTCGTGAGCTACTGTCCTGCAGGTTTTCCGTACTGCAGCACACCTGACTCACATGAATGGATCTCCAGCAGCTTGTTGTCAAGTTCTACACAAGTCTGTTAGTGATCTATTAATGTGAGTCAGGTGTGTTGGAAACGTCTAGACCAGGGGTGTCGAACTCCGGTCCTCGAGGGCCGCAATCCTGCAAGTTTTAGATGTTTCCTTCTTCCAACACACCTGATTCAAATGATCAGCTCATCATCAAGCTCTGCAGAAGCCTGATAACGATCCTGATCATTTGAATCAGGTGTGTTGGAAGAAGGAAACATCTAAAACTTGCAGGACTGTGGCCCTCGAGGACCGGAGTTCAAGACCCCTGGTCTAAAACCTGCAGGACAGAAGCTCACAAGGACCAGAGTTGTAGATCTCTGGATTGAACTGATTAAACAGACTTACGCTGCTAAATTCGTTCATTTTGCAAAATTAGCAAAGCTGCACTGTAGAAGCCGATAACATAATAACAGCCGATGACATAACAACGGCTGA